AAATCTCTTATAGTGACCCTACATTTTTTTTAATCAATTTTAATTTACTTAAAGGTCGCTTGTCTTCAGCAATAGGTGCTAACATTGCGTTAAAAGGTTCGAATCAGAATGCATATACCCAGCAAGCATTTCAACGTTGATTCAACGTTGATAACGCGTTGAATTACTGACGTTGAATTGGAAACAAAATATCGACGTTGAAATATCAACATTGATTCAACGTCAATAAATTAACGTTGAACTGACGTTGATTTACATACGTTGAATTATACGATGATTTGGAAACAAGAAATTAACGTTCATATATAAACATCGATTTAACGTCAAAAAAACAACATTAAACTGATGTTAAGTTTTTATAAACGTTTTTAAAAAATAACACTTTAAAAATTTTACTAAAATGTATTTGTCAAAAAGTTTTATAAGTGAGGGTAAGGAAGATAATTTATTTTTAATTTTGAAAACTACTTCCGCTTTTGTTTGATTCAACGTCACATTCTACTTCGCATTCATCGTCACGTTGATTTTTTTCTTCGTCACTTTCGTGAACTTCATCGTTTTCTATTTCATGGTTGTAAGATTTTCGTTTACCTCCATTCAAACGATAAGGTACATATTTTAGGCAGGAGGCAATAAATGACCGAGTTTCTTTGTCTGTTGCTTTAGGTTCGCAGCGCTTAATCGATTCTAAAAAATAAATGCAAAGATATTCAAATTTAGTCAAGGGAATAAAACTGCAGATAAAGGAAGAAAGAATCTTTTCAATTTACATTATTTGATACGAATACATTAAGTTTACAATTTTAATATAAACTATCTTATTTTATTTTTAGGAAGTTTTCATATCTGTTTTTTGTGAATTCAACTAAATTCATTTATTTTCATTAAAAAGAAAGCCATTAAAAAGAAATATAATTATATTAAAATGATCTAGATCAACAACTTTTTAAAACTTTAAATTAAAATTATAGCTACTAATTATTGCTTTGTAAACATTTAAAACTTCCATTGGTAATTTCACAGTAGCCTTTCCTTTTCAACCAACCAAATTGAACTTCGATTGTAGTCTGTTTGTCATCAGCCTTAAACATATCAAAAGAAAAACTCAACATTATTTTTCTATAATTATAAATCGCTTTAACTGATTTTCTTTGCATAAATAGTAAATACTATTGATTAAAAAAATGTATCAACCTGTTTATCATGTTTGCAACACTTTTTTTACCATTGTTACCGCCAATGGAAGATAGTTGATTAACCTGATATAAAAATAAAATAATATCTATATGAACAATGTGGCAATCTTGCATAATAGAGGATCTGAATCTTCAATGGAATTTTTAGATAACATCCTACCTTAACTCATGCATAATGGCATTTATTTGTCATTATTAACAACCATCTAAATCACACAAGATTTCAATCTAATCAAACATATTTAAATAAAAAATAACTTACAAACTTTTTAAAAACTCTGTCAAATCCAAGTTTTCGATCAAACTCATATAAAGCGTCTACATCATCAAACTGTATTAATATCTCTCCTTCAACATCTTTTATTCTGGTGCCACTAATTGCATCTAACTTTTTAGATATTTCAATCATTTGCAAAGTTATTTGGGCCAACCTCCGTAGTACTATATGTTGAAATCCTGAGTTTGAAAACAGAAAGTACTTTTTAAATATATCTAATATATATACACACACAAACATATATATATATATATATATATATATATATATATATATATATATATATATATATATATACATATATATATATATATATATATATATATATATATATATATATATATAAATATATATGTTTGTGTGTGTATATATATTAGATATATTTAAAAAGTACTTTCTGTTTTCAAACTCAGGATTTCAACATATAGTACTACGGAGGTTGGCCCAAATAACTTTGCAAATGATTGAAATATCTAAAAAGTTAGATGCAATTAGTGGCACCAGAATAAAAGATGTTGAAGGAGAAATATTAATACAGTTTGATGATGTAGACGCTTTATATGAGTTTGAGAGAGAAACTAGCTAATGTTTATATGGAGTTTTGATTCCATTTTGTAATAAAATCGATAACTCGTTTACAAAATTAAACATAAAGCTTCTTCAGATGAAGGTTTGCTCTTGATACAGAAAATAGCCACAGCAAATGGTTGGATACTTGAAAATGAGCAAAGTATGGGCCATAAAGCTACTGATGTGCTTTTAAACAATGGGATCCCATCAACATTAACAACTAACTCAATTTTCTCAGGATCTGGAAATTTACTTAAATGTTTTAAAATATTAGTTTCCAAACCATAGCAAATGTAATCGCCACCACACTTATTCTGCAGTGGAATGTTACTTGGAGTTTTCAATAATGTCCTTGCATCTTTTGGAAGCTCTGCGTGGCCATTTTTTCTCAAAATAAAAAGAAGTTGATTTGTTGCAGAGTGTGAAGTTTGGTTTACAACAACCCATTCTGCTAATTCTTCACATAGATTTCCATTTACTATTTTGTCATCTATAAAGTTTCCATGATTTAAGATACAAGAATCAGAATCAGAACTATCAGAGACTTCGGCTGAGTCAAGATTGGAATCTGTGTCGAAATCTGTTTCTTCAACACCATCAACTTCTTGCTCAATTGAGTCTTCGGAAACAACTGTATAATCTGAAACATTTATTTGTTGTTCATCTGTTTCTATTGTACTAACTGTCTCTTTTATGAAGATAATTATTATTATAGTTGTGTGATAGATTAAAATAATAGAAATAGTAGAAATAGTTGTGTGATAGTTTGATGAATGCTTTGTCAAAGTCGGTAATAAATTTTCAACTAGGTGTCTACTGCAAACAGCTTCCGTTAGATTGTTACGGGGTTCAATCAGGTTAGTAAGGCAGCGTTTGTGATGTACAAATCTATGATGAAACTTTGGCGTAAGATTGCGCAAAATGTTTTATAATCCAATCTATAATAATTATCTTCGACAATAAGCCCGTACCGGTGAACGACACAAGCTTGTAGTTATAGTCTTAACGTTGTTTCCTTTTTTGAGGGTAGACGTGATATTTGATTTCCGTTGAGGTTTTAACACTCCTTATGGAGTCGTTAAACCTAAGCGAAAACAATTAATTTAGTTTTTTTTTTTTATTTTACTATTTAAAATCTTGATTAAATTATTTTTCCAAATAATCATAAAAGTATTTATGAGAATTTTTTTTTTCTTTCTGAAATAACTTGACAAAGTTTATCTTTTACAATAAAATATTTTGTTTGGATAAGACCTAGTGTCTAATTTAATGTCGTCAATATAAAAATATAAAAAAAAATATAATAAACAAGTCATATTTTTATTTATATTTGCTTGGTACCCACCAACCAAAAAAAATAACAATAAGTTATAAGTTTTTATTAATTCTTTGATAGTATAATTTAAAAAAATGTTAATTGGTATGCACATCACCAACTAAATTTATTTTTTACCTCATCAATAAAAATAATTATTTTACTTAGTGGTGAATAAAATCTCATTTTGATTTTTTTTTGTCTTTCATCTTCTGGCGCCCCTATTATCTTGGCGGGGCATGTATGCTCCATCCCTCTCGGCGGCCCTGTGTATATATAAATAACTTTTCGGTACATATAATGTACAGAAAAGTTTGTGATACGTATTTTTCGAGGTATTTTAACTGCTCAACTTGCCACTATGCTCTACAAGGTCCGCTCTATACTTATGCTAGTTTTTTTTCTCCAAGTAAAATATTTTACAAGTTTATCGTCAAAGTTTTTTTTTATAAAATCTATTATGTATTATGTATTTATCATGGACATAGTTTTAATGGTACTAATAATCTATTTATTAATCTTTTTAAAGCTTTTTTCTTATCAAATTTTTTTCTTTGTGTTCTATAGTTCAGCTTTATAATCTTTTTCTGCTGCTCATCTATGGCCTACATTAATGCAACTTGTATTTAATTATGACATGGCTCAACATCCACTTATTAGACATGGTGACACAATAGCTAGGTTTTAAATAAAACAGTAAGGCTTAGAAAATAACTTATTATAATCAAACAGCTTATTGTAATCAAAAACAGTTATTAAAACAGCTTATTATAATCAAAAAGCCGATAAAATATTGGTAAAATATCAACACTTTTGTGATGGCAGGTAAAAAAAATGTTTATAAGTACCTTGAAAATAAATAAAAGTAATTTTATTTTTACAATTTTGGTTCGAAATAGAAAAGTGACCGTGCATCTTACTTAACTGCTGTCCAACAACCTTTTTTTATGCATTGTGTTATCGCTTCGCGTAGTTTTCGATATATTTTAATTACCTAACTTACCACTATGCTCAATTAAGTCCGCTTTATCTACTACTAGTTTTTTTTTTTTTTCTTTAAATAAAATATTTTACAAGTTAATCTTCAATTTTTATTTTATCTTATAGATGGTTTTAGTGAAATTTATTTGATTTATTGGAGGTTTCATGCTATATTTTTCTATACAATGTTCTTATATCCGAATATATACTTGGCTTAGCATAGGAACAGCCACAATAGTCATTAAGACTAATCCAAAGTAGCGTCCGTTATTGACCGACATTTTTCCGTACCGAAGTACTGAGTTGGCGGTGGCTGGATTTGAGCTCGTACCGTTTAACAGTCCGGGTTTTAACTTTTCCTTTGACGCTCTAACCATCTGAGCTATCCCACCTACAACAACTATAACTCAAAACAGTAATTGATAAAATTTTTAGTATACGTTATGCAATTTGAAAAAGCTAACAGAGTTCTCAATAAAAAAATGTTTTTAAACTTGTAAAAAATGTTTTTATATATTTATGCATTATGTTTAAATTTTTGCATCTTTTTTATATTTCTTATATATTTTATTTATACGTTATACAAGCTTTATTTTTACATATTTTTATAATAATTGTTTTTTTTAATTAGTTTTTTAGCTTTAAATGTTAATGACAATGGTTCAAGTTAATTAATTAACTAAACAAAGCAAAATTACAAAAGTACAAAATTACAAAAGTTTCTACTCGTGTCATCGAACCAGGCACGCGAGTGTTTCTTTTTCGTATTAAGCGTCAAGTTTGACGCCTATGACTCGTTCTGTGCTATCTGCAAATATTTTTGCTCTTGCTGATTCAACGTTTATTGGTATTTCTACATACGAAAAATATTTTTATATTAATATTATTTTTATTTATTGATTACGAATTTTAGATAATAAAGCGAATAATGTTTAGATTTTAGAGAGAATAAAATGTTTAAAACTCTTTAAATTTTAAAACATTAGAATTATAAAGACTTACTTAAATCCAAAATTAAAACCAGCTTTTTTATTTTCTAGAAACTGCTTAGAAGGAGTTATTAGGCAGGGTGAATAAAAATGAGCAATTGCTTTTACTTAGTAATTGGTCAACTTTACGTGACTAAAAACTTCAGGAATTTTGCTTAAGTTTTTTATTCACGTTAAGCTGACCAATTACTGAGTAAAAGCAATTGCTCATTTTTATTCACCCGGCCTATTAGTTATTAATACTTGGTATTGTACTTGATTTATTGAGATGCTTTTATATAAATAAAATAAATAAAACTTTTGCTTTTATAGTAGATTACTTTTACCTTTACTATCACAATTGTTTGCTTTAATTTTCTCGCCGTCACCGTTGTATTCTGCAGAATTTTCTTGTAGTTTAACTAAAATAATGTTTAATTATGGTTAATTTAAAAAATCAATTTTAAATCAAAACTGCCTGAAAATATTATATATATATATATATATATATATATATATATATATATATATATATATATATATATATATATATATATATATATATATATATATATATATATATATATATATATATATATATATAAATATATATATATATATATATATATATATATATATATATATATATATATATATATAAATATCTGTTAAAATTCCATTTTTGCTACTATATTTAATTCACTTATAAGTTTATACAATATAAAAAAAATGTAAACAAGAATTTATAGTATACCCACACGTATTTTCTAGGTTCTCGTCTTTAAAAATGGGAGAACTTTGATAAAAAAATCTGCAGGAAACACGTAGTATTTTCCAAGGTCGATTAAGCAAAGCCATGTTTAGCAAGTTACTAGGAAAAAAAAACTAATTTTATAGCAGATCAGTTTGTTTAGCACATACTAGGAAACTATATAAAAAATTCATATTCTTTTCCATACATCTATTAATGACGTAGCAACACTTAAAATATTAAAGCAAATTCAAATTTATTAATGACGTAAGCAACACTTATAATATTCAAGTACATAAATAAAATATAGCGACTAATTTTTTTTGTTGTTTATTTAAAAAAAAGTTTCACTTAAACTTTTTTATTAGATTTTTATTCTTTAAGGAGAGTCATAACAGTTTTTAAAGGAGAGTCATAACATCCGTTTCGATTTAAAATTAATCTAAACTTAATCTAACCTTTTTGATCGGGAATTCTTTGCTTATCTAGTTATTAATTTAACTGTTTAAATATGGTAAACATTTTCAAGTGTCTCTTATAGGGTTTTACTTAAATAAAAATCACAGATATACAAACGATAAAAAATGGTATATAAAGATCGTTTGCTAGTTACACAGAACATGCACCTTTGTATATCGTTTTTTTTAGTTTCAAACAGTGCTGTGGCTAGAGGGTCGAGATCGCCCACCCCAAAATCTTTCATTAGGGCCCCAATTTCTTAAAACATTTTTCCAATTTTTCTTACTGAAAAAAAAGAAAGCTCCTCAAATTTGTTAAAGGGCCCCTAAATTTGCAAATGGGCCCCTAAATTCGCTTTGCTCGAGTAAGGTTCTTATTTGTTATTTCCTAAATTTTACCATATTTAGAGATCATTTTAGTTAAAATACTTAAAACAACTTAATGACTAGCTAACATAGTTTTGAATAGTGTTCACATTTAGACAAGTAAAATAAAGATATGGGTTTCTCTCCCCAATCGCAAATACTGCGTTATTTACATAATTTATGGATGATCTTCTAGTTGAAAAGAACAAGAAGTTATGATCAAAATGGCTACTAAAAAAACTTATAGACGTATAATAAAAGCAAACAACAACAAAAACATTTATAGACATATAATAAAAACAAATGGCAATTGACTTCTTAAATACTTTAACAATCTTTTTAATACAATGGAACCAGGGAAGGAGGCAGGTTTTTAGTTTACCCCGTCAAAAAAAAAGGCGCCATATACGATATTGTATACAATATTTTCAAAGTATTTAACAAGTCAATTTGACTTTATCAACATGACTCCTCAAATGGAGAAAGAAAAGTGGTACAAACTTCTGATTTTCTTTGTGAAATACTCATCAGCACTAAAAAACTATTTTTTCACTTTTTAGTAATACTATACAAAAGTTTTCTTTTGCAATGTGAAATTTATTTTTATAAATATTTTTTTAAACAATGCTGAACAACGTTCCATAGTTCGTACTTGTTAGGTGTGGCAGAATAGTGTCTCTTGTTCATTTTTCGAGACTATTCCTGTCACTCGCTAGTTTTTTAAAAACTGCCTCTTTGAAATTGTTTCTAAGGTTTTCTATGGGTTTAAAACCTGGTTACTGCGCAAGCCAATCTAGAAATTAATTGTTACCCTACGACTGGTATGTTCGGTTTTGCTTTTATAAGACCAAAATGTTCCGCCATTTAAAAGCAGGCTAATCTTTATGAGCATACTTACAACTACGTACCTTTTTTTTAAAAGGAGAAAACTCCTTGAACTTCTTAAAAATACTTTGTTTTCAAATAATCGCTAAAAATACTGTTCTGAAAAAAACTTCTAAACTTAAATCATTTGAAGTTGATTTATTATTGTTTGCAACTAAAGCAAATGTCACTATTTGGAAAACATATATATATATATATATATATATATATATATATATATAATATATATATATATATATATATATATATATATATATATATATATATATATATATATATATATATATGTATATATATATACAGTGGCGGATTATCAAATTATGGGCCTATAGGCTTAACTAATTCATGGGCCCTATATACCTATATTTTTCTAAAAAATACGTCAAAAAGTACAATTTTAATTTTATTTATAATAACAATATCTATAATAAAATCTACTTTTATTTCAAAATTACAAACAAATTATCAGGTATATTAGGTACTAGTATACATTTTATAAATGGCTGACCCAAAGAAAAAAACAAAACGATCAAAAATTCATTTTTCTGCATTTTTGTTCAACAAAGTCTGATAAAATTTCATTGAAGTCACAGCTTCTTAGGATGTCAGATTCAGTACACATAACAGTAAGGGAATTCAGTTTGTTATCACCCAAAGCACTTCGCAGATAGTTTTTTATCCGTTTCAATGCAGAGAATGATCTTTCATCACTGCAGTTGGTGATCATCAAACTGAGGTATATGTGAAGTGCTGTGGCAACATTTGGAAATATATCTTGTAGTGCACTGCTGTTTCTCAAAGACCGATACATATACATTTCAGTTCTTTCTCATTCTGTTGCAAGTACGTATCATCTAACAAATATTCTTTGAAGTGAAGTATTTCATCTTCAAATGACTCTTCCAAATCATCTACATAAGTATCTATCAAGTTTCTACTGGCTCTTCGCAAATCAGACTGTTCCAGTGATCGAATGTTTCTCAGAAAACCAAACTTATCACATACACCACTGTATGCCTCTGATCGTTTACATAATGCTGAATTCAAGTGGTCAAGTACTGGCAAGAAAACCATGACTCGAAATTTCTGCTGTGCCGAAAACACTGTTTCATCAGCTGATCCATCATGACGGGTTAATTGAACACTTCGCTTTCGTTTCCTCTGATTCTCTTCTTTATAAGAAGTTGACCCTGTGAATTTACATATTCTTTTAGTGAAGTTAACAGTTGAACAGCCTCATTTAGATCAAGTTGTGGACTTTGCAGCTTTAAACTGGTCTTATGAAAGCGATCTAATATGGGTGTCCAGAGTTCTAATAAAACTCCATATTCTAACTGATCCATCTTCTTTGCAATTCCTGCAGCTGTAGTGCGAGCTTCAACCTTCTCCTCAGGGGTCCTCAGCAATGTTCTCTAACACTGTCTTAACATTTTTAAAGCCTTTGCTCAATGCTTTAGTTGCTGCAGAATGTGCTGACCATCGAGTATCAGAAAGGCGTTTTAGAACTAACTGGTTACTATCCAATCCTTTGGTTAGAAGCTCCCACCGTTGGGTTGATGCATTTAAAAAGACATACAAGTTTTGTACAAAATCAAAAAATCCACTCACTGTTGTCACGCAGTTTACAGCTGATGCACCGACTAAATTAAGGGAGTGTGAAAAACATGGCACATATTCAGCCAATGGGTTCTTCTCTCCAATGCGTGCCTGTAACCCTGAATATTTTCCTGCCATATTGCTAGCATTATCGTAGGACTGACCTCGGCAATATTTTATATCCAACTTTGCTTCTTCCAGAGACTGGAGAGGAATGGATCAAACTGAGCAATCAACTCCAAAATTCCCAAAAAATTGCCATTAGAACTTGACCCCAATATTTCAGTATGTCCTCTAAATGCGAGCCCTCTTTCAGCAAGGAATTTGATAACTGAGACAACTCTTTCTAGCACAGATTTTGCATATGCACATTCCTGTCTGTATTGCTCAACTATTGCTGAATCTACACATCCTCTGACTTGTACTCTTTGGCTGAATGTGATTGTTGCATTTCTATGTGCAAAGCTGTTATCATGTGACTGTATTCGTGAAGCTGCATTTTTCCAATCACAAAAACCATTCCTTGAGAATGAATTATCATCAGCAGAAAATAATTTACATACAAAGCAGTAAATGCGAGATGTTGCTGGTGAATAACACAACCATGACCTTGGGACTTTCTCACCATTGCGAGAATGAACACGATAAAAGAGGTTCTGTGAGCAGTAGCGCTTCTGTTTTCCATCAATTTGCATTGAACTAGTGAAGTCAGCATTTGAATGTTGACAACATTCACTGCCACGAGTTACCCAAAAGTTACAGAATGTATCATTGATTTCCACTTCAGACCATTGCCCAATGTCAGTGGAAAAAGAATTGTCATCACCTTTGGAACCAGCTTGTGCTTCTGGTTTCTGAGAAAGTGTCTCCGCGTCTACCATATCATCAGATTCAGAGTGAGAGATAGATTGAGTGCATACAGCTGCAACACTGTTATCACGTTCAAATTCATGACCAAATTGACCAGGCAAACCACACTGACCAACACATGGTAAAGGTGAATTCGATGGTGGGTCTTCTCTATTGACATTGACATTAATCGTAGGAAAAAGCTCAGTTATTTTAACAGTTTTTGAAATGACCGCTTCCTCACGTTTCTTTTTATCTTCACGGTCTTTAGCTTTTTGATACCCAGACTTGTGATGATATGCCATTATGACCTGAAATCGAAAAACATACAATGTAGATACTGCATTATTATATATATATATATATATATATATATATATATATATATATATATATATATATATATATATATATATATATATATATATATATATATATATATATAATCAAGCAATATTATAAGTTTTATTAATATTGTTTCTGAATATACATACAAAATACTTATGAGTCACGTAGATGCGCGCAATGCTTTTCTGTTCCATCCACCCACACCCTACCCCCTATGGTCCTATTTCACAGAATTTACTGTACAGTATGTGTCGTATTTTCATGGGTAAATCTTATCTTAAAGAATCTACTGTATGCTTCCTATTTCAGTGTTGCAAAACACCTAATGACATCAGTAGTGTCAATTTGTTCAAGAATACCATTCTCAGCATAACTGGGTTACAAAATTGATTTTTTAGTTTAAAAATAACATTTGGTTCTGATAAAGCAAAATTTTGACTAAGACAGAGTAAAAATAAACATTTGGGCAGCATAACTGGGCTACAAAATTGATTTTTTAGTTTAAAAATAACATTTGGTTCTGATAAAGCAAAATTTTAACTAAGACAGAGTAAAAAACAAACATTTGGGCAGCATAACTGGGCTACAAAATTGATTTTTTAGTTTAAAAATAACATTTGGTTCTGATAAAGCAAATTTTTGACTAAGACAAAGTAATCAACAAACATTTGGGCAGCATAACTGGGCTACAAAATTGATTTTTTAGTTTAAAAATAACATTGGGTTCTGATACATTCATTTATCCATGATACATACCTATATCGATATTTGCTGTAAAAAAAATTTGCAATCATCTTCCGAACCGGGCCCCTATGGCTGACGGGCCCCTAGGCTTCAGCCTACTC